GGCGGTTAACAATTAATTTTACTAACTTAGAAATCCAATTCAGGAAGATCCGTACGTCAGATTCTCGATCCATCACTTCCAACTATCCTCAAATATTAAGTTCTATAATACATTAAAGTTTGGTAATGTCCGACGGTCGAATCGTCGATTCAAATTTTGATCAAGTGATGAATCATAATAAAACAAAGTTCAAACAATCAAACCACTTCATACAGATATCAATTATCGTCGGCCGTCGGCCCATTGGCCACGCGCCGCCGCAGGTGGCGGTCGGCCGCCCTAACTCGCCGGAAAATTCAACTATTTCAAAAAATTACCAAATTTTACAGGAAAATGGATCTCAGCGAGTGGAACAAGTTTCATACCTGTGGCCAAGTCCAATTTGGCCTGGAAAGGCCTCAATTTCACTCGAACCGTTGGAAACCCTAAAATAGGTGTGCTTCGATTTGTCACCTCCGGTGCTTCGTCGTCCCTATGGTTGTTTGGGCTTTCTTCTAGGCCTCAAGGGAAGTCTAGTGGTAGTGGTAATTGGAAGAGAACGTTTCAATTTTGGTGGATCTCAGCCAAGGATCTCACGGCACCCACGGGTTTAAATTTTGTGAAATTATAACCAATACACGTCGATTATGCATAGAAGAATAGGATGATGGGATGTTGTGAGGAGGTTTGGCGGTGGTGGAAGGATGAAGAAGGTTAGAAAAAGGGACAGAAACACGTTAGGAAAAGCCGCCAGGGGCGGGTCGGGTCGCAAGGGAGAATGGGCGAATGATTATGTGCCCCTTCTCTCCCTCTTTTCCCCTCATTTCTTCTGTTTTTCATTGGGCTCATCCTCTTGTCTCCTTTATTTCTGATTGGCCTCCTTCTCAAAACTGATTGGGCCTCTTGTGGGAATTTATTTAACTTAAAAACTGTAGTTTAGTAAGACAACTTCAAATGCCCATAACTATACCGTTATAATTCGGATTAGCAAACAATTTTCGCCTATGCGCTCGTGGTTTCGAGATCTATTTGAAAACCTTAACTGTGACCTCGAAAGGTCTATAGATTTTGATTAATTAATTTCCAAACTTCAAACTTCATAATTAGTTTAATTAAAATCTAAATTCAAATAAATCAATACAAATTCCCGAAAAAAAATAATATACAATCTCAATAATACTAATACGTAGATTATAATAGTGAAATCCATAAATGAGGTTTCACAGGTGTATTGTTTTATGAAAACTTCATGTTTCAAAGGTATTAAATTTGAAACTTCAGGTTCGATTTAGTTTATGAATGTTTAGTTCATAAAAGAGATGTTCTTGCAAGAACACAGAATGCAATATGATGATTTAAGTGTAATGGATTTAAAGTTCTTCAGGAACTCAAGTGTGAGCGCTTCGGGACTACGAAAGGATGTCAACGGTTTAAAGAATAGAAATAAATTATTGAATCGATAATATCCAAAAGTGATCTTCAGGTTAATAATTTTGGATTCATTATCAAATTAATGGATTGCATGTCACTTTTAATTAATTCAATAAATCGGAACCATTTGGGGTCGATCGTAGAAGCAAAATAATAAAACATTCAGGTTAAAATTATTTTAAAATGCCAAATAATAGCATTGGGTCGAAAAAAGAATGCAGCCCAATACACTTTAGTTGGTTGCAATACATGGCCTTGCAAATAAAAGTTGCAGGCCTTTAGGGACACGGCTGCAAGTGGGCTTAGAGAAGGCTGTTGTGCAGCCCATCGTACAAAGTAGGCTTCAAGCTTACAGTTGAAAGCATGTCGTGTGTTGGGAAGAGCCCAGCAGCCTTGCGCTGCTAGTTTTAAGCCTAGTCACGGTGAAGCCCAACAATCGCTGGCTTCAAGTTTGGTGCAGAATAAGCCCAGCAAGTATAAGCTTGCTGGTTGGTAGGTCGAGGGTTGTAGGCCATCAGAAGGAAACCCACATGGTTCTCATGCACATGCAGCAAGCCCAGAGAGAAAAAAAAAGGTGCAAACTCTGCATGCTTGGAAGGGCAGTATGCCCAAACCCATGCCTAGAGCCTGGTTCACATGCAGCAAAGCTGCTGCTGACTCACGGTGCAGCTGGTTCTCTTTTTTTTTTTTTTCAAATTTTTAAGGTTTTCTGAACCCAAAATAATCATGCTTCTATTTTATTTCGATTCTTTGACTCACATATTCCATATAGCAAAAATTGCGTAATGCATGAAACAAATATATAAATTGACAAAATATACGAACATATACAAAATATATATATATATATATATATAGGCAGGAAAATATAAACATAGGGGGTTCATGCATCATGGGAAATGTTTTCTTGCTTCAAGGTTGTTTCAAATATCTTCCTTTAATTTAAGCGTACTTGATTGTCAGAAAACAACAAAAGCCTTTGAATTTGTAGAAGATCATTCTCGGAAAGCCGAAATTTCATCTCCAATGCGTTGTATCATGTTCAACACAAAAAAAAAAAACATTAAATCAATAGCATGTAGATCAATTCAATAAAATAATAAATTAATTATAAAAAGAATGATTAAAACGTAATACTCCCTTGATTGAATAATGAACTCTCTTTAGCACAGCGTCAAGAGCGTGCTGATAACGTGTTATAGGTATAATTTACTGAACAATTGTTGAGGCTATAGAGAGAAAAAGGTGTGGCAATAGTAGAGAGAATAGAGAGATGTATAATTATGGGCTTGTGTTATTCCACCTCATTGTGTCTTTATTTATAGTAGTAGGGAAGGTTAATTCCTTACCCTTTAGGATTACAATATTTAATAGGTAATCTACTCCTAATAGGAATATAAGAGATATTCCAAAATATACTAGGATTTACACAATCACATTCCTAATCTAATAGGACTGCAACAAAAACATAATTTTTTGATGCATTTTTCCTTAAATTAAAGGGTAATTTTTTTATGCAAGTGGTCATTTATCACAGTGGTGGAAATGTGTTGTGCCTAAGGTTGGTTCCGTATGGAATACCGAACCGAAAACTATGTCTCGATTCCCAAACCGAAGTTTTTGGGAATTCCAATTTTAAGACCGATCCCAAACCAAATTTTCAGGAATCCCAAAATAATTTTTGGATTTCAGGACAAATTGGGAATCCCGAAATAATTTTGGGTTTTTAGGCAGTCAGGTAACCAAGTTACGGTGACAGAATCCATTGGAAAAGCAATGTAACAACTATAGATTCCAATAACACCAACTTATTTGATCAAGGAGTAACAAAAAAAGTAAGAAGCAAAGCAAAAGATAAGTGTGAGAGAATGCCTGTCTGTGCATGTGCTCATGTGTATTTCTATGTGAGAAACTATAAACAATTACAGAGAATCAATTCTAGGAGATTAGTACCACTTTTATAAAGTATAATGAAACTTGCGTCCTGATCTCATTTCTTGAGAATACATACATTTCCCCATGATTTAGAATTATACAATCTTCTAGTTAATGAAACTTCCACCTATAATCAAAGCAACTTTCTTTTCGAGTAAACTAGACAAAACCGTACAAGAACAAATGATGCAAGCTCCTAAACATGCATTCTCACAAAAAAGGTTTGAATTGCTGTCAAAGGTACATCATAGTCTGCATAAGAAAAGATATAAATGCAAGTAGAATTAGAGGTGAGGATGAAGCCCCAATTCGAAACCCTAACCTTATTTGAAACCCCACATAGAGAATCAATTAAGAGAATCGGAGGTGAGGATGAAGCCGTGAGGTGTGGTGGTGGCCGGAGCGGAGAGAGTTCGTTAGAGTAAGACTGAGAGAGTGGTGGCTGCTGAGCTTCGAATTCGAAAAGCGAGAGACAGAGAGACGGAAAGAATTTGAGACCGAGTGAAGGGCCAAAGATGAGAAATGAGAGAGAGTAAGGATGTTGGCTTGAGTTTGGATTGAGTCAAAGGAAGGTTTAGGTGGCTTCGCCTTTCTGGGTTGACATTGCATATAGAGATAATGAGAGGGAGAGAAAGTGGGAGCCAAAAGGATCCTGCTTTTGAGTTGGGAAGTGGGAACTGAAAGGCTTCTGCTTTTGAGTTGGGAAGTGGGAACCGAATAATTGAGATTTGGAAACCAATCCCATACCAAATATTTTGATATTTTTTGGGATTTCGGGAATACCGAATAATTAAGTTTTGAAAACCAATCCCATACCGAATACTTCGGTATTTTTCGGGATGGGTTTACCGAACTTCGGAATGGTTTTGATTTGGAATTTTTCGGTTTGGGTTCGGGACTTTTTTGGTTTGGTTTGGGATTTTTGAGAATTTTTTCTAGCCCTAGTTGTGCTCTTGCATGACGGCATGGGTTCAAACCCCGTCAGTGGCTAATCTAACATTTAACTTAATAACACTATCGTTTCACTAAAAAAAGGGTAATTTTTATTAAAATTTTGTTTTGTGGGACATTTTTCATTAAAACTCAAAAAAAAAAAAAAAAAATGAAGAAGGTACCCCAAAGACTTGGGCTTAATCGAAATTAAAAAGGAAAACTAACAAAAAATTAAATTTTTTTAATGAAAATGACAAATAAAGGTGTAGTGAATAGTACCAGAAAAAGGAAAAAATGTGTTTTTTCGTTAAAAAATGAACAATATTGAAAAAAAAAAAATTTTTTTTTTTTTTTGCGGGTTTTTTAAAAATATAACCTTTGTTTTTTTGCCCTCACTGCTCACCAAAAAAAATTTAAAAAATGGGTCTCGAGAATAAATTAGCCAATATGTCCTCCATGCATTCTAGAGGGTGATCACTATTATAATATTAGTTATTATAGCTTCTAAACAGCTAAGTCCTAAGCCAGTCTAGTCTAGTCTAGCTCAGTCTCCACCGAGCTAGTCCAGTCCGAGAAGCAACAAACGCCTCCATCTTTATACAAATGGTGAAATATGTATGCTAAAAAGTTAATAATTTAAAAAATATAATTTTTCACCACTCCTGCTAAAACATAGTTTACCACTTGTATTCCGTCACAACTAACGTTTAAAGTGCACGAGTGAATTCTTTTTTGTCCAAACGAGCGACAGCCGGAAAGGCAGGAGAGGAGAGGAGAGGAGACTGGACACAGAAAGAGCAGGAGAGGGACGTCGAAACTAGAGAGGGCGAGCGAGCGAAAGCTGGCCTTTGATCTGAAGCTTAGGATCTGCAGAGGTAAGCCTTTTGCTTTTGTTCCTCTTCTTCCTCCGGATTTATGATGCCCGCTGGGAACTCCTAATTGCTGGAATTTCTAATTTTATGAAACTCCTTTTGGAAAATCAAACTTCCCCAATCAAATTATGCTAGCCGTTTTCTCAAATTTCAATCCAGTTTCCATGGAATTGAAATTCAACCCATTGTTTCTGTGCCGAGATGCTTACTATTCCTCCATATGTGTGATTAACTATGGGAAACTTACGATTATGTGACTATTTTTATTAATCATAGATTACAAATTTTGGGTTTGATTTTGTTCAGGTCTGCATTGTGTTATTTTGAAGTTCTTTTCGATTGTTTTAGTTGGTTCGATTAGAGTTTAGGATTACCTTTAGGTAATTTGTATTTTCAATGATGATCTTTCTGGTGCCTGTGTACAAGGGTAAGTCGTGCTTCGGTCATCTAACATTTTGATTCCTCAAGATTTGGTTAAATGGTATTTATCTGTCGAGGGTGTCGTGTGTTAAGAGAAATTGGGACTTTCTGGAAAGGATTTTGGTTATTCCGGTTATGACTTGTGAAAGGGAGGCCAACAAGGTCAAAGTCATGGGAATTGTAGGTTATTGGTTCATCATGGGTATAACTGTGTGTCTGTTTGTGCATTATATACAGGAAAGATATTCAAATTCTGCATGATATCGTCATCAAGAGCTTTCTTGGGTTTTGCTTGCATGCAAGAAAGAAATGGATCACGGTCGCTATGGTCATCAGCAAAGATGGGATAATAACAGCGTAATTGTGGTTTCCTCCTTAATAAATCACCTATATGGGATGAATGATGATAAATACAAGAATTTATTAGGGCCCATTCTGAATATCCATTTTTTTGGGAGAAAAATGAGAGAAAGCCGTGGGGGCAATGTGGATATGGACTGACTGGTAACCTCATATCATCATTGATCTCTTGCTGACATTACCTTATTCTCTTGAATCCACAGGCTCTGGAGGGGTATGGTGCAGTCCACGAGCCAAACTTTCGGTGAGTGCTACTAAATGTTGCTTCTCATTTTCACTACGGTTGCTACTTAAGTTTGTATGTGTTGTAGATTGAGATTTACTTTTTTGTTTTACTTTTAAACTTCATAAATGATTGTGGAACAGTATGTTTTCTTTAATTTTGTCAGATATCTTTCTAGTTGTATTGTATTACATTATTTCTTTTCCTTTCATCCCATTATATTTTTTTTGGCAGGGCCAATGGTTCATATGATGAGAGGAGGTTTATAGATGAAAGATGCTCAAGGGACAACGTCTATCCAAGAAACTCTTTTCACCGTGATGTTCTAGATGGGGATAACTATCCACCTCCACCTCCTCATGCTGTTGGTGTCTGGCCACACTCAAGAAGGAGAAGTTATGAGGAAGATCTTCCAATTGAGAGGGAAACTAGGCGACATGAGAAGCAATACATGGATTCATATCACGAGATGGATAACTTTCTTGATCATGACAGCGATACGTTTCAGGATTTTGATAAATTTCGGGATAGCTATCGTAGTGTCAACTATCGTGATCCTGGGTTTGACAGGATTGCTCGGTTTGGTGGACGTGATCGTGATGATTATGCTTATGATGATTTTGACTCTAGGCCCCGTTCTACCCATCAGAACAGGGAGGATAGTCGTGAAAGGGATTATGACTATGGTCGATACAGTTATGATTCTGATTACGATGGAAGTAGTAGGAGAGATGGCAATTGGAGGTGTCGGGGATCTCGTGAATCTCGTGACCGAGAGCGTGACAAGAAATGTTTGAGTAGGGAGACAGAACAGAGTCCACATAGAAGGCATGAGCAGTCCCGTTCTCGGTCCATTTCTCGTGGGCATGATGATCGCCCTAGATCAAGGTCCCCTAGAGGTCGAAGCCATGGGCGAAGTCATCGAGAGGACAGCTATGATGATGGACGGTACGAGGGAACTGATAAGCGAAGGGATCGTGATGAGAAACGCCATAGAGAACATTATTCTGTGGTATATTTTTATGTCCATCTTTTGTGTTCTAATTTCCTTTGGGTTTACATGCCTGATAACTTCATAAGTATGATATTGTTTTGTAGGCCCCATCTGCAACTATTGTTGTGAAGGGTCTTTCCCAGAAGACAAATGAGGAAGATTTATACCAGATCCTTGTAATATTCATCTTGATGTTTTTTTTGTTTTTTGTGAATACTATTCTTTTATTTCTATCTTCGTTTTTAATAGCATTGCAATTTGTGTCTCTACCAGGCTGAATGGGGACCCCTTCGACATGTCCGTGTGATCAAAGAACGTAATTCTGGCACTTCTCGTGGTTTTGCGTTTATTGATTTTCCTTCTGTGGTATGTATCATTCTTTATCTTTAACTATTTTACATTTGATTTAAACAAATAATTCAAAATGGAGGTTATGTTTGTTAAATAGGGAGCAGCACGCGCTATGATGGACAGCATGGGGGATGAAGGGCTTGTGGTCAATGACAGGAAGCTTTTTTTCGAGTATAGGTGATTTTTCTCGCACGCTCCTGATTCATATATTGTTGTGATATACTTTTTTGTAATGAGTATTATAGTAATGGTATTGCTGTGTTAGTATCTTTACCTTCTCACACTGAGGAATTAACATGGAGCACAAAATGGTCAGATCTGAATAAATTTTAATGTAACCTTCAACAAATGAAACCGACATTTTGGCCAGTGCTGTGCTAATATCTTTACCTCCTGCCAATGTTATGTATATAGTATATCTTTATGTATACTTTGTGTTAATATCTTCTCTCCCTCTTCCTTAAGTTCTCTTTCTTCCCTCTTTTTGGTTGGAAGTAGGAATCCACTAGAAAGTTTTAAACAGCCACGTATACCTCCTGTTGGTATCATAGAAATACATAATTCTCTTGGTATGCTCACCAATAGGGTTGGGGAGCACCGGTGCAGTAGTTGGGTTCTTAGTTCTTCAAAGTTAAAATCATTTTACACGAACTTTGATCATAGTGAGGAAAAAGCAGTGAGATGAGGTATTCTGGAAGTAGGTTGGAAATATAATAAAGGTGAAGAGATTGCATAACTAATGTAAAGAAAAACTGACATCTCATATGATGTGCAAATACTAATGTCTCGAAAAATGAAGGGTTTATTCTTTGTGTCAGATGTATCCTCAGCCGTTAGATGATAGAACATCTAAAGGCTGAAATTGTGTCGTTTTATTTGTGTACTAGGAACCCATTTATTTTTCTGCAAGTATACTAATTTGGATTTTCAATTGTTGTTGCAGTAGTAAGCCAACTGGGGGTGCAGGTGGATCTTTTGGTCAGGAGAATTCCATTAAATTAGGCCATAATACCCATAATACCCATAAAAGCACCACAATGCCATCTGATTGGATGTGCATAAGTTGTGAATATGTTAATTTTGCACGGCGCACTTCCTGTTTTCAGGTATGCCTTTTATTATTGTTAGAACACAGGCATTCCCATGGTTATCTTTTGATCTAATTCTTAAACCTTTCAAAGTCTTCATTGTGTTATAAATAAATTTGTAGTGGCACTCTGACAATGATTGTGGTAAGTGCTAAATGCATACCATCAAGCAAATTTGGGAATAACAGTCGGACTTATATGGACATAGTCCATAAATTTATATGTTTTAAGGTGGTTGTGTCAAATATCTGTGCATGCTTGCTGCTTTTTTAGCTGCTTTTATGGTATTTTGTTATTGTATACAGGCTTCTACCTGGTGTTGGAGTTACTTAGATTTTCAGTTATTCTAGGCTTGGGTACAGTGATTTGAGAATGAAATCTTTTTGTCCAAGAAAATATAAAATGAGTGTAATGGAAATATTTTTTTGGTTATCTCATTTTTCTGTTTATTATTTCAGAAAAGAAAATTTTCAACATGCAGAAATTTGTAGTGTATGACTTTTCTTATGTTAATTTAAGAATAGTTCATGTATGTTTCTTCTCGAAAAGCAGTTCATGTTAGTAGATCTCATTTTTTGTCCATGGTTGCAGTGCAATAAGGCACGAACTGAGGATGCTCCTGCAGCAGATATTTCTTTGTCCAATCAAATGACTTCAGCAAAGAAGGGGTCTGAAGCTGGTTGGTTTACTTTGTTGCTTTTAGTTGTTGTAGTTGAGTATTATTTGTTATGAACTTCACTGAGTATGTATGTAATTAGGTCCTACTCATGTCTTGGTTGTTCGTGGACTGGATGAAAATGCTGATGAGGAAATGCTGCGCTATGAGTTCTCCAAACATGCTGCAATTAAGGTACAAATGCTGAACAAATCAGTGGATGCTGTAGTTACTCATTTACTTTCATCTTAAAGTTAAAAGACAACTTATTTTCTATTTTGGAAGGTTTATTAACATAATATTTGCAGGATCTTCGTCTTGTTAGAGACAAATTTACTCATGTTTCAAGGGGGTTTGCTTTTGTACATTTCCATTCGGTATGTCCCTTTTGTCTTCGGTGATTGGTTGGCTAATTATTGTAATTTGATTGTCTTCCTCTATTCATCTGGTTGTATCAATCATGGTTTTAATGGTATAATACTAGAATTCAAAGACACTGAAGTTAACTGATGTGGGGGACAGGAAATGATGCCAGCAATTAAAAGTACAGAACTTTGAAATATAACCAAAAAAATGCTACCAACTTATATTTACAATTTTACAGAACTTGTACAAAATTTACTTTCCAAATGTACATGTTCAGAACTTATGAATTTAGGTCTTCAGACCTTTTATATTCTCATTATATGCTGTACTTTTATGGTTGTTGGTTCATTGTATTACTACTAGTAAATAATCTTCTTTCCAGTGGGGAATATGATGTTTATTTTACTTGGATATTAGCATAGTTCTGGTAAAATTTGTTTTGGTTTAAACAACCTATGATTTTCAGGTAGGAGATGCTACAAAAGCTCTTGAAGCAACAAATGGAACAACACTTGAGAGGAATGGGCAAATTTTGAGAGTAGCATATGCAAAGAGCGTTCTTGGTCCAGGATCTTCACAGTCAAGCAGCCTGGCAGCTGCTGCGATTGAGGCAGCCACATTTGCCCAACAGGTGAATTGAAATTCGAATCAAGCTTGCACTAGTATTATTTGTGATTAAACTTCTTGAAGTAGTGTTTACTACTATGGGTCAATTTAGGAGTGCATTAGACAGTGCCTAAAGCAGTTCATAAACTAAAAGCAAGTTTCATAGTTTGGTATAAAATTAATAGACAACTACTAGTATATGCCCATACACAGTGTGTGTGAAATTTTTTATTTTTGTTTTTTTGAATGAAAATTGAAAGAAAGAGGAAGAGAGTGAGGGAGAATGTGGGAGTGGGGAGAGAGGGAGAGAGGTTTATTTTTTAATTTTTAAAATTAGATATGTTAAAATCACTTGTAGGTGAGGTTTAAACAAAAAAACAGCAAAATTTCATGGTATGAAATTATTTTACTGCCCTTAACTTTTTTGTTGTGATAATACTGAAGTTTTTTCACCCTCTTTTGATTGACAAAGAGAATTCTATTAATATTTCATGGTGTGAAATTACTTTACTGTCCTTAACTTTTTTGTTGTGATATAATATTGAATAGTCTTTTCACCCTCTTTTGATTGACAGAGAATTCAATTAATATGTAGTTTAGAAGTAAAAGCGCTTCTTCTAATGAAAGCTAATAAAAGCTCTACTGAGCTTAAGCACTCTCAAGAGTGCCGCCCATCAGCAAGTTTGGTTGTGTCATCTTTACCCATTAGGTTAATCCTTTATTCACAATCTTGAAATTTCAAAAGCGTCCCGGATTAGGCTGTTGAAACTTGAGGTATGATGGTGTCATCATGAGTTCACAACAATAGGATAACAACCCCAACCTTAGTTGTGGCTATTTGTTTCCCCGTCCTGGTTGGTAAAGAAATCTTCTCTCCAGGAACTTTCTCCTTTCTCCAGCACCGTGATAGAATCAGGCATGAAAGCTGGAATTAAACCTGAATCATGCTAGCTTTAAATAAATTTGAATATGTATTGTTCTCATATTAGTTTTTGAATATCCTCCTCAAACATCACCTATTACTCAAAGGATGTTTTTTTTTTTTCCACATTGAAGAGAAACCAACAATATGTGTTCAACCACCATAGGTGACTGTGTTAACATCCAACCCATTTGATAACATAGTTCGGGAAAATGACCATATTGTCTAAATCAGCATGGAGATTGTGGTAATGTATCATACTTGCCAGCCAGAATTTCATTTTTCAAATTTTGATCTTTCAGCCACCACCGAGCGCACCACCCCTATTACATATTGGGAATTAATTTTGGGTGTTTATGGAACTTTTTGGGTTACAAACTTGTGATTAACCTTAAATTTCTCTCATTTGTCTAAAGATAGTTCATAGTTTAAGCTGGGAGCATGCAAAACCCTAAGGGTTGTTTACAAAATCTTAAAAAAAGGAAAACCTAACAGAAGAAAGGATCCTTAAGCAAGTAAAGTGAGCACGAGAGGGCCAGTGTAATTGTGCAAGGCAAAAGTAACTCAAATTACTGATAATCACCCTTAGTCATTATTTATGGTGCCGATAGTATGTCAACTGTCTGCTGTTTTGCTTTCTTATGTATGTGTTACTGTACTGTATATTTTATTAGACCTTATGCATTTTGGTTTTGTTTTGTTGTTTTAGTACGATGCTGTTGGATGGGCTCCAAAGGAATATAATCCAGATGACAAACAATCCACTGCAGGGAACGAGCAAAATGGCGGGGAGATGGCAGTACAACAAGATGGTTTGGCTCCACAATCTGGTTTTGTGTGGGATGAGGCATCTGGTTATTACTATGATGCTGCTTCTGGGTTCTACTATGACCCAAATACAGGTTATTTTTATTTGTGTTTCATTTTACCTCATTCGGTTCATGTTGTCAAACTGTTTGCAAACTAATAGTTCTGTACCCTTTTTTATTTTGCACTTGTGTTAATGAACCAAACTGTTTATTTTATTATTTGTTTGCTGTTGAAACCAATTGGCTCTGATTAACTTGTTTCACATCTTGGAAATGGTCTCTAAAGTTGTAAAGTACTCTTTTTCTCAATTCAGTACATTTTTCTGTCTATATTAAATATGAATGATTGTTAGGATTCCATGGGGTGTTCTGTCAAAGACTCCTGACTTAAATATGTTTGTTGTATTTCCCTGTTTTTGATCTGGAGTAGTTCGCTGGTACTTTAAGGTAGTGGATCATTTATTTTTAGATCACAAGGTTCTATTAAATAAGATAATAAGTTACGTTTTTGTGATTGTCAATTGTCTGGACTTGTTTTTTTGCCTAAATGTTTTTATTATTTTTTGTTCTCCGGCAATAATATTGTGGCAAAACTAAATTCAGGGACCAGGGAGCTTGAACAGTCATTTAACAAGTAGCCTAGTTCTATGTGCTGTCATTATAGGATGTTCAAATCATGAATTTTCACAATGGTTCTGTATTAATTTGCAACCTAAGTTCTCCAATATCAGAGGAAAATCATTAGAATTTCTGTTCCCTTCCTCTTGTCCCTCTCTCACGCACAGATGAACATTCTGCCAGTCTTAATTCGTGTTATTGTACATTTCTCAACACAGGCCTTTACTATGATGGTAACAACGGCATTTGGTATACATATGACAACCAAACTCAGCAGTACATCCCTTGCACTGATCAAAATGATAACAAAACATCTGCTGATCAATCTGAGCTTTCCAAGGCATCGGATGGTTCAAGTAATAGAAAAGCAGTCATTTCTGCTCCAGCTACAACCTCAACATCTGAGAAGGCTGCATCATTACCAGATGCAGTCCAGGCTGCTGCAGCAGCAGCAATAGCTGCAGAGAAAAGGGAAAAGGAAAAGGCAAAAGAGATCAAACTGGCTTCAAAGAGCAGTATTTTGGCAAACAAGAAGAAAATGAGTAATGTGTTGACAATGTGGAAGCAAAGGAGTCACGAAGGGCAAGCAACCCGTGTAGCTCTGGATGACAACCAGCCAAGTGGTTCGGCTGATGATAGACCAGTTTCTTCTGTGCAGTCTGCAAAGAGCAAGTTTAAAACTAATGTGACAAAGGAGAATACTACATCCAGTTCAGGGGTTACTGCAACTGTTTCTGCTGCACAGATTACATCCAGTTCAGGGGTTACTGACACTGTTTCTGCTGCAGAGACTGTTGGTTTGGAGTGTTCAGTTATGCCAAGGCCTGTGAGTAACAGTATAAGAGGGACAGTGATGGGAGTCATAAGGGGATCTGGAAGAGGTGTAGTGAAATCAGATGCCTCGTTTTCAGGATCAAGTGTTGGAGTTTCCATGCCTTCAACTTCTGCTCCCGGCATGGCAGGTTCATCTGCATCAACAAATGCAGTCACCCCCACAGTTTTGACACCCTTTAGAACGGATGCATCTGCATTGGGTTCTTATACACCAGCTGTTGCTACTGGGAGTGGAAAGAGAAGATTTTCTGAAATGCCACTAACTCCTGCTTCTGCTCCTAAAGAACCTCATACTGCGTACAGGGATCGTGCAGCCGAGAGAAGAAGCTTATATGGTTCATCGGTGTCTTTTAGTGATGACGTATCTGACCTTGGTTTTGCAGAGTCAAGTAAGCTTTATTAAGAATTTGTTTTTCATTGGCTTACCCCTCTATTTGTTTATTACATGGTCAATATACAAAGGTGCATCAGTCTAAAGTTTTCTCAAATATGGTTTTTGATTGGCATGGCCCTTATTTCTGTCGTACAAGCTCAATCGAATCTAGTACTAGTCTCAAATTTCATTTATTAGAACCATCACTCATGCAACCTTTCATACTGGTTTGCATATTTGATGTGAAGATGTCAGTTCAATTTTGTTATTCGATACCCAATAGGGTTATCCAAGTTGGATGAGTCATTTTTGCATTTCACAATTGTGATTGACTTGTAAACATTTTCTATGATTACTATTGTTACTGTAAAGATCAAGATTCTGCGTCAAGAAAGGGTTCTTTTGATTCAATGCCTTTTCCCCCTGGTGTTGGTGGAGGACGTGGGGTTGGAGATGCTAACATTGACAGTTACGAGGTGATTACAGCTGAAAAAGCAATTGATGAGAGCAATGTGGGCAACAAGATGCTTCGCAACATGGGCTGGCACGAAGGCTTGGTAGCGTATTCTTCTTTTGCACTTCATAATTTGTTCTAAATTTTTATTTAATCACTCAGTTGAACCAGATAGCACCCTAAAAACATACCCCGTATTGAACTCGAATGAAATGATTCAGGCAGAGCTCTATTTTCGTATAGGTCAATAGGTGAATTTGGTAGTGCTACTCTTGTAAACACAGCAGCTTATAGTGCCAATAATCTGACGCCCATACATTGCCTGTCTATGGCCCTGGCTCGTCGGTGCATGTGCACAAGGTTTCTAACTAAATATTTGGGTGTTGTTTGTTCTTCTTTTGCTGCTGATCTGGTCACAGGGGTTAGGAAGAGATGGAAGCGGAATGGTAGAACCAGTGCAGGCTCAGTCCGTGGAACGGAGAGCAGGACTTGGGAGTCAGCAGAAGAAGTTAGATCCTACTCTCGAGGTGCAGGCCGGAGATAGTTACAAGACTCTCATTCAGAAGAAGGCACTGGCCAGGTTCCGGGAGATGTCTTAAGGCACCGATAAAGTTGATCTTTATTGTGTTCGACTTTTTCCTTGAAGTAGATATAGCCGATAGTGTCTCCTTAAGGAATATGATTCGAACAAAGCGATGGAAGCAGTCGTAGAGCAACTAGTCTATGTCGTAGTGATGTGGTATTGTCCACGCTTTGCTCCTTGTAAAAACTCGCATTCTAGCACTACTTAAAATTTTCAGTTTTTCAAGAATACAATTGCACATTTCGTCCATCCATTAGATTTATGTGGTCGTTTGGAAGTACTTTAAAATTTTAATTGGACTATCGTGATTCGCGACACAATACAAAGAAGCTTAGCCGCCATGGATACGCTGCAACTGCAACGCTTTACAAAGATAAGTAAGAGGGGTTTGTAACGATACTCTGCAAGTAGTGATTTGCAAGTCTCCTGTCATGACTTTGTAAGAATACGAGATTTTCTAATCCCTCTTATCCCATTTTGTGTTACTTTTCTTATTAACTTGACCTCAATCCATGGGGGGCTTGTACAAGGGAAACAATTTGTATTAATTGTACCCTAATCATACTTTTCTACAAGATCCTCTTTAAATACATTATTTGAAAACTATACATCTTCCAACTCCACTCGTCTCTCAATGCATTTCCTTTTGTAATTTTCGTATGAGCTTAGTGATTCCACACTTTTAAGTGCTTTTAATCAACAAAATCTGCTTATGATGAAAAAAAGAAAAAGAAAAATCATTTACAATACTCCACTGTTAAAATTTGTCCAAAAAATCACCACGTACCACATTTGTTCAATTTTAAGAAGTTTCTATTGACACTATCAATAAGTAAAGTATATTTTTTAAAATGCTAATAACAATACTTTGGAATTAGCTGTGATACATGCATTTACTTAATACATTTATCATCTAACGACCAGACATGCAACTAAAAATATCTGACCAACCATTAGGCAGTGAATCTATCAAGTAAATGCATATACGGCCTCACATCAAAGAAAAACAATGGTTGAGACTTGATTTGAGAGAAATGAAAGATTAACCAACAGTAATTCTTATACACGAAAATCAATGTGTTGCGCTCATTATAATTTGATGGTACAAAATGGATGCTTTCCATAACTAAAATGCTACAACCAACCAATATCCTCAAAATACCCACCTTCAACACTTGTTTTGTACAATTTATATGGAGACCGACATCACTAGGGCGACCAAAAGACCAGTTGCAGCTGCCCTCATCGTCACGATGAAGCTCGTCACTACTAGTCTTCTCCTAAGAGAGAGGCCATTGAACACAGGCCTCACCAAAGATGAGTAATCCAAGACTGATATTGAACTTGTAATGTACAATTGTTTCCATTGAATTACATATTTCACAGAAAGGCTGCTTAAGCCAGTAGACAGCAAAGAAATACACTACTTATTTCCGGAAGTGAATATTCAAAACTGATGGCTGCAAGGACATACTCTGCTGGATGGACAGAGCAAGAGGCAAAAATGGATGAAAAAGAAACGAAGAGATCCTTTTAGTCCGATTGTCTGTGCTACCAGCTTCTGGACCTATTCAAAAGGCCAGCTCATTATTCATCTGTTTAGTTCACGTCACTATGCAAGCACAAACACGCGCACGCACACACAGAGGCAAGCACACTATGAACCAAATCAGAAACTAATTGATCTAACTGCAATCCAATCAATAGATGAACATGATATATTCGATAAATACTGTTTTTATGCAATATTCACCAAGCTGAAATTGTTTAGCCATTTGGCTGTAGTCATAATCATTCCAGTGCATCGCAAGCACCATGTTCGTCTATTTATCTTATCAACTGGATACCCAAATGGTTTCGATCCTTAAAATGGGAACTTGAAAATGCAGGGTCCTAATGATGTGATCACATTGAAAATTGGGCCTCATGCTCTCATGACGTGATCATTAGGTTTATTACTTTTTATTTTTCTTATTTTTCATTTTGGTACCTGAACATGGAGACCAACTTACATGGCATGGGTACACTGTCACGTGGCATCCCCTTCCAACGAAATAAGGACATTTGGACAAAAAAAATTACGTCTTTATTTCATTGGAGCAGAACACCGCCATGGCGGTGTATCCTTTCCATGTAAATCCTCCTCCTGAACATGGGGTCCTTAGGTTAAATTTCAATCACAATATAGGCATGCACGTAAATAAATACCTGGTTTCATCTTAAATTTGAGAACTTTTGGTTTCCTTCTTAAGCAGAACTTTATGTGTTGATCTGGTGAGGGTCTATGCCGATCCATTGGAGAAATTGACTGCAAGAGATACATTTGAAATTGTGAAACCTTATGGAGGAGATTGAACTGACAAAACTTATTTGCCCATAACTTAATTAATCTAATGCCACAAAGTGCACTATAGAGAGAAAAGTGCATGAGATTAGGTATGGGCTTTGTGGACTTTAGGGGGTGGATTGACAGTACATACGGTTTCAGAAATCAAATTCGTTTATTTCATGAACAAGTTGACTTCGTAGGTTTTCCTTTGCTAAAGATATCTGGAGCATATACATGCACATGATGGCACTGACAAAGACTATCCTCAATATAATTCAAAAACAAAGCAGTGCATGAAATGGGGAAAATTTGTAGTTTCTGAATCAAACCTTTTCATCAAACTTAAAAAGTGATTGGTCAAAGTAGGGAGAAGGGCTCTCCGACTGACAACTAAAAGGCAAAGAGGCTAGTACCTTCTTCACAAACTGCAGGATCATCAGCAGATTATACGTGAGGTTTGAGCACATAGGTAATTAACCAGGATAATGATAAACCTTGTTCTCATGCCTTGATGATGCAAAAATAACCGAAAGATCACCTGTGAAGAGGCTGAAGAGCTACTTGCTTTATTTTTATTACTTCTGAGTTGTTCTCGAGCATGCATGTTATTTGAGTGAGATGATGTGAAATTTAAATACAATGAATTTCTCGAGGTTGCATGGAAGTGGTCGCCGAATTGCTCAAACAAGAGATAAAGCTCATCTGCCGAATTCTACAAGTAAAAATGTCAAATAAAGCAAGTTCTACATTAAATTGTACCCAAAAAAAAAAGAGCGAGAAAAAAAAATTGTCACAAAATTACCTGATAAAAAGCTACAATTTCAGTTGTCTCCATGTTATATACTGCAAAAAAGGATCGATGATGATCTACATTGCGAGATACCTGCTTAACACATATACAATAATGACCAATATTGTCATGTACTCAGACAACGAAAAGGTTACTTCAAGGAAAAGAAATCAAAAAGTCAGAAACCCACAATTTGAAACTGATAAAGTTCGTTAGTTTACCACCATTCCCAAATGCTTCAGCTTTGGGATTTGTTTTACTATTATAAAGCTCCCACTCACTTGTGGGCCTCTCTCCACAACTAGACCCCAACATGTGGAATTCAACTTATTTGCAGGGATTCAAACTTAAAGATATCCTGATCTGTTACGATGATAAAGTTCGTTACATTACCACTTTCGAAAATCTGTCAATGGATTGGATTTTGATCTCAATCTGACTTGAATCCAGTTAATTAATAAGATATGTATTGACATTTTCAATTTTGATAATCCTATTATGCTCCGAATCTGCTAACTCATTAACTTAATAAATAAAATATGGTTTAAGTTGATTCGATCTGTTAATAATTTAGTTCCACTAAATAATATTAAGTTTTGCAAACCTTTTTTTTGTAAATATTGTATGTGTGAAGATAATTGAGTTTTGTTGTGCACTAGTGCCATACATAAACTATTTACTAAGCATAAGAGTTCAAACTAAAATATAAAGTAGATAAACACAATAAAAGAACAAGGTCATTAATGAGATCTTAATTTGTCAAACTCTTAATATAAATCAGATAAAGGTAGTCCGACTCTAACCCGATTATTCTCAGATATGGACTGATAAGTTAAATCTGAATCAGGTAATCAGATTAAATAAATGGATCAGATATGGATTCCAAACAAATCCTCTCCGTTTACAGGTAGTTAGCTGTGTACCAATATTATTTATATGCTAAAAGACATTAAGTTACGAAAGACCAGATGATAACTAAAAATGAGGGGTTCTCTCTTGAAAGTTCCCAGAATTTTAGCTAGCAAACAATCAGTTGCACCTATCAAGGCTTAGATGATTTTAAAATAGTTGGTACAAATACACTGCTTAATATTACCTTCATAACAGTTATTTCAGAAAGTATAGCAATTTGAAACCATCCAATTTTTAAAAGGTGTGGGCATGTGAATAATGGAATAAAGAACACATGAACATGGAAACAGCAGAGAAAGTTAACTAATTATGTCATTTCATGTCACATTTTCATGTTTGTCACAGCCTTCTACTTGTAATCGCCCAATGAAAAAGCGACCTCTCGCCGGTTTCTTTTTTATGTTAAATTCATAGGAGAAGACCTCTGTATTCTTCCTCAATCGTGTGTGATGTGCAAAGATGGAGCAAAGAATGTGAACCATTCGTTCCTGCACTGTGCAGCTGTTTTCTAGTGTCTTTTGTGTATTTGCTGGTCCTCTGATGTTTTTTAGGCTGTTATTCCTTTACAGTTCTCTTGTTTCTTTGTTCTTGTGGACATCTTGTCCATTGTTTTATACTTTTGTCTCTTCTTATTGAATTTTTGTTTCCTATCTAAAAAATATTGAACTAATAAAAGGCATATTGACGAACTTTGTGCAGTAGGCTCACGTCAAAGACATCTTGGGATGTTGACCAACAAAAATTACTGAATGAGCTCTGTAAGTGATGGATACTGTAATTACCCGCCTCAGAATCATCTTATACACGGTAAAAAGGTGGTCAAATTGATATTGTCAACTCTTTTAGACCTGATGCATAACTACAATGTTGGGGTGACTCATTCCATAAGGCATCCGGGTACAATACTCCAGAGTAATTGATATCCTTTCTTTCAGGGACTCAATCGAAGAGGGAGGATGAAATAACGTGGTCAAAGAATGCCCAAACATTTAGATACTACTTCGAAGCTAGTATGATATTAATGGAATGCTAGAAAGATCTTACCACTCCATCTACACTACCAAACTTTATTAGCAGGTGGTGCCGGTCCAAGAACTGTACCTGCCCAAGAGTTGTGTATAAACAACTTGTTACAAGTCATATTTGATGCGGAATATCAGATTTTCCTGTTATATAGAGCAGTGAAGATTATGCAAGTGACTTCAGAATTCTAAAAATGGCAAAACACAATATGCATATATTTGTAGAGAGAGAGAACAAACTTGGGTCATACCTTCCAGATAATCAAGTCAACATAGTCTTGAAAATGGAAATAGAACTTCTTCTTCAGCAATTGGACCCTCTAAAGTAAAAAAGAAAATATCAGTTAGCTAATTGAATTAAAACTATTTCCTTCAAAACATCAACATAAAACTATTTCCTCCACAAAAATCAAACAAGTAGAGGTCTGTTGTGCATTTTAAAGTAAAGCCTGCGTTGCCCAGATTCCCAGCAATAGGGTCTAACACCTCCGGCCTTTACTAGAATACAATAAAAACACAGCACAACTTCCGTTAGACTTATATCACCCTTTCATAGGCTCGGCTACGTTCTGAAATGATATGTTTATTCCCAAAGTATTATTAATATCATTTCAGAACGTAACCGAGCCTAGAAGGAAAAAAAAAACATTTAAGATAAGTAACTTGAGGCTACTGTTTCAAATAGAAAGTCCCACATCAAGCATCCTAAGCGTCGCATCTCCAACTGTTGCAGGTTCAGTAGGATGTTCAAACTTTATGCATTTCATCCTAGTGTGAGGCCCAAATTGCCCGCACATGCTCCACATACCCAATAATAACTTGTAAATTTCTTTAGCTCAATTCAACAAAAGGTGACGGTGCATGTTAATCTCATATTGATAATTCTAGTCATGCATCTCAATATACAAAGTTATTGGCTTCTCCACTCAAAGCCAATTGGTTTTGGCTGGATTCTCCAAATTTAACATGATACCATGGAAACAATTATTCACATGTTAGGTCCAAGTCACAACACATATTCCACATCACCCATCATAATTAATCCACGTATTTGGCTCATCCAACCACATGGGAGGGCGTGTGTTAAAATGTCTCACATCAGGCATTCTAAGCCTTGTATTCCAGTCATACAAATATTGGACCTCAATTTATGGCTATTTGGTATAGGTTGGAAAACGTACCCCACTTAGTGGGAAAAGGCTTTGTTGTTGTTGTGGTATAGGTTGGAAAACGTCATATTAAATACTTTTGCTTCTATCTTGAATATTTCAGTGCATTGTATAAACGAGATCTTAATCTAGTCCCACTTGCATATGCATATTATTGTTACCCTAAAGTTTATAGGATAGCGGAACAATTAGGTTCATGGTACAAATTTAGAAATGTGATATGCTTCTGTTGTTCCTGGTAATGTGACTTGCACCAGTTCCATGTACTCTCTGGGTCAGAGACATACTGGGTTTACTAGTTAAGATAGTGGTTCACACTTGAACACTTATCATTCAGATCACTGGTGCACAATCTGGCAGTAGGTCTCTACATTAATTCATAATAGGCTAATAGCGTAAATACTTGCATACAGGCCCATTTAGATTAAACATCCTTCTAAGTTTGACTTTTCTGTCCCAAAAAAAGAGCTTATTAAAAGTTTCTATAAATTAGTCAGGCTCACTTAGGTTTTAAGGCCTCTAAGTTGGAACCGAACAATAGGAATAGCAATTGCCATCAGTTTCTGCACATCCTTGCTCTGGCTTCTGGACCAATGTAAACAAGATAGTCTAGAGAAGCACTAAGCGAACTGAGAAAAGACATATAACTAGCTTAAGTAGGAGGCCACCCAAGTGCTACATCAGAACAAGAATGATAAAACAATATGAAGATGGAGCTTCTAACAGCTCAAAGTCGCCGAAAACTCTCCATGGAATGAAATGGGATGACGTAAATGTGACGAGACCAACACACAATTAATACAAGAAAAGCATTGAAAAAAATTAACTAGTAGAGTATAAAAATTAGTAGTAAAGAGTCAAGATTGTGAAACGTAAGTGGATGCAATCACCTGCCTGAACCATGCTTATGGTGAGATAAAGCAATAATATAACAATGAGCCAAAAAATGACAGAGAGAACCAACCGATGACTGATCTGATTCTTCATTCCATATTCCTCTAAATATGAAAGATAGCAGCCGTTGTTTGATTCCGCTAAGAAAACAATAATCTGAAGAAGGCTGGCCCTGATGTAAATCAGTCTGCCATCAATAGGTGATTTGTCAATAGAGTACTCGACATATCAAACATGAGAAAGAGTTCCTGATCACCAAACTTTGTCAATGTGATGATAAAATAAAGTAGGAAAAATTTGCATTAATTACTAATCTCATGAAAAGGCAAGGTGAATGTGGTTGAAAATTCTTACTTTTGATGGTCAGGTTAAGGGTTAAAATGGCAGAAATTTACAACATCAAGTTTCGATCAAAATCAATCTCCAAGCTGTAAAGAACCTAAACTAATGAGCAACGACACACCATAGCCAGAAACAGAATAAAAAACTTAGGGGCCATTTGATAACAAATTCATTTTTGGTTTTCATGTTTTTGTTAGAGGTAGAAAGAAAGCATATTGGTGAAAAAAGAGTGAAGAAGAAGGCAGGAGGAAGGGTGGTGAAGGAATCTAGAAAATGATTATGAAAAGCTAAGTAAATGAAAAACAAAAAATTGAAAACAAATTGTTCACTTTCAAGCTTTTGTTTCACACATTTTCAATTTTCCCTCCTAACTCCCGCCACCCTCCCTTTCGCCTTTCTTCATCCCTCATTTATCCCATGTAATTTCCTTTTTTCTAGCAAAAAATGAAAACTTAAAACAAAATGGTTACTAAACGGCCCTAAACTTTGAGGTTGTAATACAAATTCATGTTGCCGCTGAGACGCTGACTATGGAGAATGCATATTATCTTCAGTTACTCTCATGATTTACCACCTAATTCCATATTGGAATTAGGAATATAAGAAACAATGACAAAAAACCCAATTGTTTTTATTGAAACATTGTGCATTCTCAAATTGTATATGCACACAACAGATAAATACCCTATTTCTTAAAAGGATTATGAAAAATTAAAAGAATAATAACTGGACAGATAGCTAAAAATTATTGTCCTCCCATTAAATAATAAATATTATTTCAGTCTAATACCCTTTTGTCTCCAAATAGTAAGTAGGGAATAAATTATTTGTTCATTCTTATTATTAGCAAAAGGTATTACAAATTCTTAATAAATGAATTTCAAGTTTCTATATATTGATAATCTTAGCCAAGATATTAGAAAATTTCATCCATCAAAGTCTCAGTAAAGGCTTACTAACCTGAGTATTTGAAGTGAGAAAAAGCACATCATCTTCACGACAAAATGTACCAATTGATCGTACATCAACAAGGTTGCCAGAATCCCTGATTTGCAGAATGTGTATTGTCTGATAGCGAAGAGACACAATCGCCAGTAAATCGTCATACAAGAAGACACCCATATTATGGGCCAGATTAATAAAATCATTCTGAAAGGACTTCTGATCCAGAACAACTCCATCCTCCAATCTAGTGAAAAATCAATCAAATAAGTAACATATAGACTAAGCTTCCAAAAATAACCAATTAATTTTTGATAAAAATAATATCCCATACAAGAAAAAGGGAAACACACACCTCAAGAGGTGAAATGTTATCTTTTCTATCGATGGGACTCCCTGAACAGCTCCTCCAACAGGGAGTGCATCATGAATTTGTGCAGTAGAAGTAGCAAATATTCCAAATTGGTTACTCCCCATGTAAAGAAAAAAGTCTTTGCATATAAGATCGTTGCTAGAAGCAAGTGATACACAGTATAACTGGCTAAAGAAGCTCTCAAACTTCTTTGCTTTTGGGGGAAGATCATTAGTATTGCAATCTTCTTTGCATGAATATGAAAGCCATGTTGGTCTATAAACAATCAGATCTTGATGATTTCTGCTGAAACATATTAGGTATTGTCCATCATCAGTGAATTTACGGTAAATCTGATCTGGGCACTCAACTTCATATATGGTATAATCAGGGACCACATTCTCGTAAAATCGCCTAGTATAGCGAACCTGAGACCATTAGCATGCATTAGTACTCAGGATTCTGTACTTATCCACAGAAGATTTTAAATAGGACAGACAACTATCAGGTTAGTTAGATATCAAACATATCTGGAGAACAGGTAAGGCTTAATAATATGATCTGATTTTTTTGTTCTCTTGAAGATCTTCTTAAAGTATCTTTATGAGATAGTCCACTCCAAGGAAAGCAAAATGTTGGAATTTCTTTTGAACTTATCATACTTCCCAGCATGTGAGCTTCACAAATTGGTAATCTTGAACAATTAAGAACCATCCTATCTCAAAACAAGCAACAAAACCGCAGAAGATAAACAAATATAAGCACGAGTTAAAAATTAAAAAGAAGTTGTTGAGTCCATATTTTGTTGTACATTCCACTAAATAATACAATATAAAGTAAAAAGTAATCAGAAGGAGAAGGTACACTGGTTCCAGAAGCACTAGACGAAATTTGGCGGTCGAAAATCCTGCAAACAACATTGCTTCTTTTTTTTGGTCTGAACACGTCCATTGGTGACTGATGATGCTGAAGCTCCATTGATATTCCACCTACAATCAATTACAAATACTTATTAGAAAAATCAAATGCTTCTACTAATTGAAAAATTCATGAGAACCCAATACAAATACACAAAAAGGAAATCTTTTCCTTTCTGGATTCTTCAAAAGAATTTCAATTCGACATCTATCACCAAATTGAATCAGAACAGTATGCAAAAGATTTCAAATTTCTCTCTTTGAAAACAAGGAAATTCATGAAAATTCTACAAAAAGAAAAGCCTCACAGGCGGTGGCTGACGGCGGCGACAGTGTTTATTTTCCGGCAATAGCGTGTCTCCGTTGCTTTTGGGTTCGATGAGAGAGCAGAGAGAGAGAGTCGAAGGTGCGAAGCTGAGAGAGTGGTGTCGGGCTGAGAGACAGTTTCAGAAAGTTGATTCAAATGTCTATCGTTATTCGATTGGTAACTAAAGATAATAGGACCACACTCAAAAATAATTTTTCTAAAAGCATTTTTAATAATTTAAAAACACTTTTCAAACAAACCTGTAATGTCACTAGTACTACGGTTTCTCACTATTTATAAATGAAAAGTTTTAAATTGGATTATCATTAATAATGATTTTGATAATACTTTATAGATGAGAAGGAGTTCCTCTTCAATTCATTACGTGACTGATTTTTCACATAATGTTATACTTATGATTGGAGTTATTCATATTACAAAACACTTTGTAAAAATCATTTATGCAACAAATCAATAAAATATAATATTGTTTAGTCATTAAGTGATATAAAAATAGATGAACGGATCCGGTAAAAAAATTACTAACCGTCTATCTTTTTATTACAATTAATTAACCAAATAATCTTATTTTTAATTTTTTTTTACAAAAATAATTTTTACAAAGTAATTTATAATTTGAACAATTTTAATTATAAAATACGAAGTTTCATGAATGCATCACAACCTCCTCAATTTAATGAGTCAAGCTTCTCTCTTACCCGATATAGTTGCAATGAAAATAAATGTTTGGTCCTTGTGTCACCCACTTTATTGAAGGTTAGATTTTTCAACAAGTAAGAGCGTGGCATGTTACTCAACCACTCTTTTTGGTCAAGGGGCACTAGGTCACACCTTGCAAGCTTCCCCAAACTTTTAGGAGACTCAAAGGACTTGTTTTCTCCAATGTGAATTGACCATTGAGTTTGAGATCATTGTTTTCTCCAATGTGAATTGACTATTGAGTTGGAGATCATGAGCTTCAATATTCGGTAGCAACTAATCGAAAACCATACAGCGCTTCAGTAATCATCAACTAAAAAAATACTCAAACCATTTAATTGTTTTTTATTTAATACTAGAACGAGTTTCATAGTTCTATTCAGTATTTAGCATCAGAAAATCCTCAACAGTTTCTATGGCATGAACAAAGGTTCAATAGCTCACCTAACATACCCAAAATACACATAACTACCATAGTGAACATACCCAAAATACACATAACTACCTATTGACCTTAAAAACTACCTAGCCTACGTGGCGCGCATATTGAGTAATTAATAAGCTAACTATATCCTTCGGTCGAATACGGGGTTGGCCAACTCGTCGGCCTAGCTCAGCCGGGGAGTAAATGAATATTGATGTGGTGTTGGGTGTGTTGATGACTTCTTGATCTCGTGATTGTGGCTGAGGAAGGAACATGTCTTGGCTTTCAGGTTTTAGAGCTTGAAGACAAGGTTGCTAGTTTTACGAAGTTCAATATCAAATTCAATTGTCAGTGTGCCGAATGTAATAACCTGGTAACACCTTATTTCGTTGAGAATGCTGATAAGATGACCTCTACCAACAAAGACTCGGAAATCCTTGTTGACCGAAACATGGATAAATAACCAGTCGGTCTCAAAGTAGTGTTGTTTATCTAAACTGAAGATGCTCTTCGGTCGGCTGATTCCATGGCTCCAGTGCTATTTATCTAAATTGAAGATGTTGTCAGTTGCTTCCACAGTGCTCTTTATCCAAACTGTAGATGTGTTGGCGAGAAAAAAGAAAATAAAAATCTCAAGGTGTTTGAGAGGTTTGCGCACGGCAGTTGTGTGTTGAATTGGAGGGGTTTGAATGATGCACTCCCTCTCTATTTATAGTAGCGATTTCCACAATAACCGAACTAGAATTTTACTCGGACTGGAATTCTCCATCCCAATCTGATTTGGCCTCGACCAATCTTAACTTCTATAAGATTTTGAACCAAGCTCTTTAATCATTCAGATTCAACCCTTGACTTTCGGCATCATTTTTGATTCAGAAGCTTTTAGCCTGTGAAGAATCCCTATTGAATTAGGATTCGACCACTCTACCTTTATCTAGGCGAAAATCACATTCTGATAGGATTTGGCCGAACTTTATTGGGCTCGGCCCATGGCAGAAAATATTCTCGATACTCCTTATTGGACTGAGAGCAACTCCAGGTTCGGCCCAAAGTGTTATTTTGGGCCAAAAAACTACCATACTTACTATGTGTATTTTGTATGTTAGGTGGGTCGAATGTTTTTAATTTAATACTAGAACGAGTTCCATAGTTTTATTCACATGAATGGTGGAGAGAATACAAGTGTAGAGAACCAAGAGTGAAAAAGAGATATAGAGAAAGGTTATGAGGTTTAGCATAAGAGTTTTCAATAAGTTCTTGTAACCGAGTTGTTATTCTTGATAGTGCAGGTGATTTCTCAAGAGAGATCACACAGGGAGTAGTCAAATCCAAACACTAAATTTTTTTGTGTTCATAAGTGGCGTGTTTCATATATTCGTATAGCATTATCTTATAAATTTGCATAACACTGAAGAATATCAATAAACAAAATCAACTAAAAGTATTAAAATCTACAATAAGAAGAAGCAAATGAAGTGCAAATGGAACGACTCATTGCACTTTCCAACTTGACGCAAAATATTTTCAACTTGAAAATGAAAAGAAAAAAGTAAATCCATAATAAAATGAAAGAATAGATTGATACATTTGACTATAACAAAACATAGACAACAACTCAGGGTCTAAATATGTAGAAATGGAAAATATAAATGCGATGTAGATGTAGTGTCTGATTTGGCTGAAAATTGTGTAACTTTGACTCCATTAGCAACATTAATTTGATACAAAATCCCATCACTATACATTTCCCAATTGAACCAGGACAGGATTAACGCTAAACTTACTTGATCACCTTCCCATGAATGGACAAATGAGAATTAGCAAACGTTAGATCATAGTGGATGAGATATATATTTAGTATTATTAGAATGTGACACCTACACATAGATAATTATCTGACTTTGTAAAAATTTTCAGTGCGCCAAGAACATGGCTTAGTATATTAAGTGTTATAATACAAGTGGTAATTATTTTTTTCGATTATCTAACCACTTGTATTATGACACTTAGTGTACATGCTCATGTTCTCGGCAACTTGAAAAATCTCTCCTGGCTTTAAATGAACTATCATTTTTAAGTTAAGTTTTAATTAAGAAGGCTATAGTTATTTTCTACTCTAATCATACTCTCTAGCAAGAAAGTCCTCACTATGTGCCATTAGAATGAATTTTTTTAGGCAATGTTAAAACAATAATCGTTAATAATAAGCGCCACCAAGGGTCCAGTTGCGTGAAATCTATGTCTATTTGTGGATCCAGTAGTGGTAGCGTAACTTTGTTGTGGCTCGCTTGGTCTATTGTAAAGATAAGACACATGATTATAGTAATTTTTTTTTTAACTCCTCTTCAAATTTTAGTTTAAGAGCTCATTTAAGAATCTCAATGTCGATCCTGGATCTGACACATCAAAATATTCACATCACTCTTTGCGTAGATTGATTTTAATTGAGCTCTTTATACTCTAATAACATTGTTCTCTTACAAGTATTTTTACATGATTTAACCTTGGTTTTACAGATGATAAGAATTCTATCACTTATCTGTGAAGAATGACATAAAACATAGATTTTCTTTATTCAGGTAACACGCAGATTCCTAAAAAAAATAAAAAAAAATAAAAATTAGTTTTTAGCAAAAGGACGAGTTACTTTCACTTTCAGTTCATATCTTGCCAGTAGCAGGCACGGATGATCGGCAGTCGGCACAACCATATTCTAGCTTTGTTTATAGTACCAAGGAAACTGAACTTTTATCGAAATTCAGGCATTGTTCCAAACGTATGTGGAAATCTGTAACCTATAAATTATATTCTGTTTATTTTTCATTACGACAAGTTTAACTTACCAAAAAAACATGCGTGCCAAAGTTGTGTTGACAGGTCCAATGGGGAACTTTGGTATCCAAACTTGTATCGAGCCAAACTACACGCTTGGCTCTCAATGAATAATAAGTAAATGTGACATGATTATTTATAGTGTTCTGGAAAATTAGATACTTTGAATTTTTTAATTGTTAAATATTTGGACAAGAACACAAAAAATGGGATTTAATAATTAAAAGACCTGAAAGATAAAATATGTCGGAGAAATTTTGACATGCGACATCTGAATTAGAAACAAGCACATATGACTCAATGTCGATTCTGTAATTTGGCCTGCTAAAATTAGTTCCAAATTCCAATATGTTCCCATCTTCCAGCCACTAAATTTGTGGTCAATTAACAATTGAATAATCTGGGATTATTAGAATGTGGGCTTATTATTTTAAACTATTTAAAATAATGAGCTTGAACAGAACCAACTCAACCCAAGCTGATCCCTATAATTTTTTTAAGTCAAACCAGTCCTATATATCAAACGTGAATATCTTATTTACTGAGAGTACTTATAAATTTTTTTTTTTTAAAAGACAGATAGAATGACAAATTAGGAGTGGACGTATTTTCCTAATAGATATTTTTTTATGGAACTTTAACGAAAAGCACCTGGTACTGTTTACTTTAACGAAAAACTACATTTTTATACTAAAACGTCAATCCTGGTACTATTCACTTTACCATTTATTTTGTCCTTATCATTAAAACTCAAAGTTTTCAGGCCTTTTTCATTAGTTTTCTATTTTTTTTTATTGACACGATGATATTAATTTTAAACTTTTCCAACTTACAAGAGGTGTTTCAAATCAAACACAGTAGAATGTTTTCATGCTTTGATTATACAATAATGTATTTATAAGAAGGGGTGGAGGATAAATTCATATCGAATTCATCATTAAGAGATTTAGATCTAAAATCTCTTACTTACAACTAATTAGAAACACCATAAGACGGTAGTATGAAGTGAACATTGCTGATTTGATATTTTAAATAGTAACAAAATCATGACAAAAGTGACAATGGGCTGCGAAAAAAAGTCTTCCTCCTAACAAATGTCGATTACATGATGCTGTCTTAGGTTAGTGGTGATATAACCCACCTACGTTCTATATACTGTTAAGATCAAACAGAAGAAAATCCAAATCAAACCTTTTGATTATTTT